AAAACTATTAAATTTGTTATTGAAGATAAATCAATTACAGAGAATAAATCAAATAAGAAATAAAGAGAAAAAGAGTATGGATTAGAGCATGTATTCTTGGACGAGAAATTAGAGGTGAAGCTTCAATATTGGTGCAAGAAATGCGTTTTCGGGACGTGGTTTGGTATTATAATTATACACGAATGATGCCTGATTCTTTCGATGAATTACTTAATTTAATTGAACCAATTATACGAAAACAAGAAACAAACTGTCGAAAACCAATTCCACCTGCTATCCGGTTGTTAATAACCTTGCGGTATGTTGACATTATATATTATTATGTATTTTATCCTGTCAATAAAATATATTTTTATTTGTATATATATTTTTACTTTTATAATGTTATTCTATATTTACAGATATTTAGCATCTGGTGATTTAATGTCATCACTCGCAATGTCATATCGTTTAGGTAAATCTACTGTTTCTGGTATAATTCAAGAGACATGTGAAGCTATTTGGGAGACTTTGCAACATCGTGTTTTATTTCAACCTTCTCAACAACGATGGAAAGAGATAGCAGATGATTTTTCTAGAAAATGGAACTTTCCGCATTGTATAGGAGCTATCGATGGGAAGCATGTTGTAATACAAGTATGGCATATAAAAATTTTTGCATATTTTTATCTATATTAGATAAATTTTATCGATATTTAAAATAAACATTTTTTTACAGGCACCACCATATGCAGGGTCGACTTTTTACAATTATAAAGGGCAACACAGCATTGTTCTCATGGCAATAGTATCAGCATCTTATGAGTTTTTGATGGTCGATATTGGTGCCCAAGGAAGGCATCATGATGGAGGAATTTTTAAAGGATCTATTATGGGACAGCGATTTGAAAATAGACAAATGGAGTTACCACCTCCATGTTCGCTGCCAAATTCTAATATTCTTGTTCCATATATACTTGTGGGTGATGCCGCTTTCCAACTTAATGAATATACTCTTAGACCATATCCCGGTAATCGATTGAACAGAATTAGAGAAATATTTAATAAAAGACTGAGTCGAGCCAGGCGTGTTGTGGAAAATGCGTTTGGTATTATGGCTAGTAAATGGAGGATTTATAGGAAACCTATTAATGCATCACTAAAAACAATTGAAAGCATAGTTAAAGCAACTGTCTGCCTTCATAATTTTTTATTATCAACGCCATATTATGCAAATAGTATTAATACGTGTCAAAATTTTGTACAAGAAAATGCAACTGCTTTTGAAAATATTCGTTCAATGGGAAGTAATACACATTCGCGATTAGCAGCACAGATTAGAGATATATTTGCTCAATATTTTGTAGAAGTAGGCTCTGTACCTTGGCAAGATGCATATGTGTTAAATGCATCTACATAAAGCAATTTAATGTTATATTTTAAGAATTATAGCAATTACAAAATATTATATCTTTTTAGTATAAGTTGTATAAAAATAAAATGTACACATACAGGAAATAAATATAAATGTTTTTTCTCTGAATAATATTTATTATAAATCTTTAAATCCTTTTCTTACATAATTATATATCTTAATGTAACATTTGTTATGTAATAAATTTTATTATATAAAATTTAT